CAGTCAGTGTACGAGTTGGTCAGTGTGCGAGTTGACAAAACTGCGTACGCGTTGGTCAGTGTACGAGTTGGCACGAGTTGACCTGTTGCCTTTAAATCCAAGTACTATTTATATACTTTTGCTTCCATTACATAATTTCACTCAAAATATTTTGTTCATTGTTGTACCCTGAATCAAAATCCTCAGAATTCACTTGCAAAACGGTCCTCAGTCTGTTTAATGCACCTCTTAGGATTCTATGGGACGTACATGCAGACGACTGTTTCCTGTGCGGCACAATGTCCGGTGTTCAGCTCGAGGTCATCACAGCTTCTGAACGTTGCACTGCTCAGGAAACAGTTGTTGGTGTAGGAGTGCACAGCGATTCCTCAGGCTTAATTCTGAGTGGTCCACTCGGTTGGCGCCTCCTGACTGTTGGACATTCTCCCTGTCTTTTTGCCTTCAGTTTGAATAGCAGAAGAAGAAGAAGATGGCATCTTGGATTTCCAGCTCAGCAGTAGGAGAGTTTAGGATTTGAAGGGGAAATTTCTCAGTTTTATCTTCCTGAATGTAAGTAAGCTTTAACGCCATCACTGGAATCTCTGATTCCCATTGATTCCCTACAGTGGGCACATTAGACAGTTTTAAAGGTGAATTCTGAGGATTTTGATTTAGGGCATGAGCTGTTTTGGATGAGATAAATTAATGGTAACAAAGGCTTATGAAAGGTACCCGGACTCAACTGTCGTCGACCATGTCTTAATGTAAAAAGAGGCGATTCGTTGAGATCTAGTTACTCAATTATTGCCCCATAGTGTTGCTCATGTACCAGACTATGACACCATTTGCAGACCTGCCAACTGTTCTGATTTGATAATCTGAACTGTTCCGATTTTTCAAGTTTTAAAAGGCTTCAAAATCGGAGCATTCCGATGTCTCGGGAGGAAAAAAAAGTCTAAAAAAGTCTTGAAATTTTCCGTGGACTTTCCAAGAGGTTCACTCGTCCTCATCTTACATCGCACAACACAAACCCACGTACGTACTGGTTGTGCCCAATCACTTGGCTATGGCTTCAATTTAAGCATGGGTGTATGGAAAATGGGTGCAGCCACAACTGTACGTGTAGATTCGTGTGTAACTTCAAACCGCAGCCAAGTAATACGGATGCTAACCTCGACTCCATCGGCTGCGTGCACGTTCCTTTGAACCATATAGTGTGGCAAGCTCGTGTGAATGGGAACAAGGTTGCGCGCCAGGGACAAAAATGAATGAAGTGACGGCATTATTTATTTCTGTCTGTCCCACAAAAAACTCCCTCATTCTACATTTTGTCGTTCACCATAAATTATACAACTTTTTTCTAAATCTTTTTTGTATGCATGGTTCAGTAATTATGGAAAAAGAAAATTAGAGATATTGCCATTTGTAAACAAGCCTATACATAGCCAATTCGCCGTGTTGTATTTGTAAATGGATAGTTCCATAGCGGGTGTGCATGTGATGACCACTATGCGATGTCATGTCAAAGAGCTGCATCCAACACGAGTAAGCTGATAACCTGTGTCCGAAAAGAAGATACTTCAAGTCTTCAGTGATAAATGCATACATCCATGCTTGCTGTCCCCCAAAACGTGATCCTTGTGCAACCATGGCAATTGTATTGCTGTTTTCCAGTCATTTTGTATTTCACATTTGTGATTTCATTAAATGCAGCAAAGAATTGTAATGCAGCAATAAAAATTTAGGCCTACTATTAAAAAAAAAATGAAATTTAAATGCACAAAAAGAGAATATGAAAGAAAAAAAATTGAAGTACTCACAGGAGAATGTTTTTTGGGGCATGGTGGTTGTGGAAGGTGCTGGGGAAAATGACAAATTTTGTTTCCATGTTTCACTTACTGTCTTTTAAGTATTGTTCTAAATAACCTTTCCAGTGCTCTAAAAATAGCTAAAACCCAGAACCTTCCGGGAGCATTGTCCCTGGACCCCACCAGGGGCCCTAAGGCGGTCGCTGGACCCCACCCAGTAGGGGCTTGTGCCAAGGTGTTTACATTGCATGCGCGATGGCCGTTCTGATTTCTTTCTTTCCAGTGTTGGCAGGTATGCAATTGCTTTATGTGTGGAGAGTCCCCATTGCTAATGTCCCTTGAAAATGAGATTGAGACTTTTTTCCAAGCTCAAAAAAAACAACACAATGTATATTGACGATTTTACCAGACCCTAAAAATTGTTTTCTGTACCTTTGGATCTGTCATTGTCTTGAAATTTTGAAGCAAATTTTGAGCAATATTGCCAAAAGTTCTGTGATGGCAGCCATGTTATGCTATTGATCATGCGTAGCGCACGCAAAACGGTCTTAGCTACAACTGTTGCGTGTCATTGTTACATTTATTGATGGGATCTCAAAGTATCAACCGTACACACATAGAAAGGACATACAACTGCCGTGGCTGACTGCATGACCCACAATCGAATTCTCCCTCTTGTCTATACCATCACTTACACATTACAAACAGATGGTCAGTGGGAGACACCTGCCAGAACAGAAAAAATGGCACTGCTTAGGCTGCCTGGTTCGACCTAAACTCTGGTCAGCTTGCCGAATTCTAGTTAAAGCAGCCAGGTTGTGGTCAAAACCATTCTCTAAGTGGTCCAGTGGTCTAGTGTAAAACCACCAAGATAGGTGAGCACGCTTCCTCAGAGCGAGACGGTCAACTGAAGACAATCATTCGTCCTAATCCAGGTATCCAGTTGATTTTATGTGTGTGCATCATTGCAGGTAAACCGTGTGGCAGATGACATCCTCTATTGCCATGGAGAGAGCTGCGCTTGCAGAGGTTACCAACCAAATTCCAAGTCAGGAAAGGATAGGTACATGTACATGGAATATCAGAAAAAATACCCAGATTTTTCAAGCATGTTTTTTCTTGTTAAGCGGGTAGAAAGATTCTTTCAATATCCATCTCATAAATCCATTTCAGTTACAACACCAAAAATGTGACCTGTCACCACAAAATGAGCTGAAAGTCAGAATTTTCAAAAATTGAGATATTGGTATTTTTGCGTTCAGCAGAAAAAGAGCTTTCCAACGACATGTACATGGAACACTTAGGGTAGAAGTATAAGATGACAATGTGGCATTATTCTGGCAGCTTTGCGTCTTTGTTCCCGACACTGTTTCAACATTTCAGACCAGGCATGCATAATGCTATCGTCAGAACTGCTGTGAAAATGACATTTTTAACTCTATGATCCTGCAAAATGTATGGAATTAAATAGGAGACGGGTTAATCCTTCCAAAAATTACAAAATCCCCAAATTAATCTCCACTTCAATATGATTTTGAATTTTCAAAATAGGAAAGAGTGGAATGCGACTTTAGGCTCAGCTCATTTTGTCGGGACGGGTCACCAATGACTTCAGAAAGGTTTCACACTTTGATGAGTTTCCTGTATTCACCTATATGATTTTAGTGGGCCCCCTTGTTAATGAACCCCTCAGTTTTTTTCTGCAGCAGACTTTAGGGCATGCATATATCAAAATGACCACAAACTACAAATTCTCTTTGAATTTTAAGAAAACCCCTTGTAAAGTTACAGCAGCCAAAAAAAGTTTTGTGGCCATCAACATTTTTGGTAAACATTAGTGTTTCCCAGCCTTCATTTACCGAAAAGAAGTGTAATAAAATTGTGATAAAAGTGCAGATGTTGGAATTCACCTTACAGGGTAATCATTTCAACTTACAATTATTCAAGTGAAGTTCAGTCTTTTATACCTTGGCACTGATTGGTCAATCCCATAGCAACCCCGGTGGGACATTTCCAAGATTTTCATCAGCACCTTCCATTAAAAAGTGTCTTTGACCAGAGCTGCATGTGTTCTTGTGCCAGTGTTCAATAATTGTGTACTTCATCATTAATAATATTTGTGTGCGGTTTGTTGATCAGCGTGGTTGACTTGTTGCAGTCTTTAGACCAAGTTGAGCGATGAGAAAAAATTCGGAGACTCTAAATGCTCTTATTTATCGAAATAATACCCGGACTGTGTCCAGGGTTACTACCAACTCAGTTTTCCTGTATCTCCTATATTTGTGGCAGCTTTCGGTTGTATGACATATTTCCCTGAGATTTCAGAGTTCGGGGGATTCCTTCAACTTTACCCTTCCCCTGGTATGGAAAGATGTGCATTAAAAATGTTCTCTCCCTTGGTGATGGAAAATGTTTAATCCCCCATCTCATAACATTTGACATTGTTAAAGGTAC